TGTGACAGTTTGTGACAGGGGTGTGTGGGTGGTCAGACCATGAGTGACGTCACACATTTATTTTTTTTTTAAAATTATTTCTAATTTATTTTTTAGTAAAATTTAAGCTTTAAAAATAATTTTCAAACATTTTGTGAAACATTCGAATTAGTTTTATGTCAAAATAGCATGAAATACGCATCTCCTGAATGTGTTGTTCACGATTCCTCTCGCTAGGAGCGCTAGTATGCTGTTGCGAAGCTTTGTTTTATGTAAAGCCTTGCCGAGATCAACAGGAGTTTTCAAAGTACAACTATATAATCTTTACTGTCCATCTTTGCAGACCAGCTAACTTGATCGAATTTGCAAAGTATGTCACTTAAACTTTGCCTCACAAACAATGTCAAAGAAACATGCAGGTAAACTCAGAGCTCTGGCTCGGGAGAATGTACCAACCCAAACTGTCCCAGATTCAACTCAGATAAAACGCATCAGTCCTTTGAGAATCGCTGCTAGAAGGCAAAGAGAACTCATGGCAGTTATTGCCAGAAGAGAAAATGCACATTCAGAGGATGTTGAGTGGCTAGATGAGGATGAAGTTGATCTGTCTGCAATTATCCTTCCGGGAAACGATGATGGTGAAAGATTGATGCCAGTCGTAACTATGGATGAACACTTCACTTCATCATGTATGGATGATGTCCAGTTAATATTTTTGAATTAATCATAATTCACAGGCCCATAATAAACAGATTTAATATAGCGCAAGAGTCACATAATTTGTCAATCTAGTCTTTTTTTAGTCAAATTGTTTTGTTTCCCTTTTATTATTTAATCACTGGGTGAGGTCAAGTTTCGCTAATCTATTTCTTATCCCGTGTAAAAAGATTGCATAATCTGAAATTATCTAAAACTTGACCTCACCTTTTATAATTGAAAAAGCAGCAGATAAATGATGAGTATTATATAATTGTCCAGTCTAATTTTTGCAATTTTTGTTTTCAAATTCAATCTAGATTAAGTTACTGATTCAATGAATAACCGTAACAACTGTTGACAATTAACTATTCTACTATTAATGTAATTTTAATAATGTGATAGTTCTTTTAAGTGGAAATTTTATATTTTAAACAGTTTAATAGTGAAGTGTGTTTTTAGATTAAATTTTAATTAGGTGTTATTTTTTTTTAAAAATGTGTCCGAAAGTGTGACGTACTTTGTGGGGGGGGGGGGGTTCCGAGATTTGTGACAGTTTGTGACAGGGGGATTTGGGGGGGGGGGTTAAAATGGTCAAAAATAAAGTGACGTACTTTATGGACGGTCCTTAACAGTTTTACCATAGAATAGACAATAGCCTTTGATTGGAATAACTTGGCAACATTTTGAATCACGTTGTATCATTGATCTGTTCTAAACTATCGCTGGAGCTATAGCATTGAAAAGAAAAGAAAAGAAAAAAAGAAAGAAATTACAGTTCAGTTTATTATATTTCAGAAAACCAGAGGTTTTGACTATAACCATAAAGGTCATTTGAAGATGAGTTGATACAAACAATGTGATAATCCTTGAGATCATCTGAAACATATGTTTTAAAAATTTATTTCGAATTCTTTTTCTTTGAAAGTCGGAAACATATCTTGTTCCACTATTTCTTTCACAGGCTCAGAACAGATGACGGCAATCATCTACGCTCCTTCTGGGAGACTAAATGGGATTGAAATGATTGCACGTGGTGACATTTGGTTATTTAAAAAAAAAAAATCTTAGACCAAGTGTCGCTTTACCAGGTAAACAGAGAAGTTCGCAGTGGAGCCTGGTGACATTATTATGTACACGAAAGAAGCAAAGCCTAGCGACATTGTCAGGTAGATGAGCTACAAATGGCAAACCAAGACCGATACTGTACTGGGATGGACAATTGAGTTAACACAGTTTAATCATCTGTGTTCATGTGATAGTTTAATCATCTATTTTCATGGAATAGTTTAATCATCTGTGTTCTTGGGATAATTTAATCATCTGTTTTCATGGGATAATTTAATCATCTGTGTTCATGTGATAATTTAATCATCTGTGTTCATGGGATAGTTTAATCATCTATTTTCATGGGATAGTTTAATCATCTCTTTTCGTGGGATAGTTTAATCATCTGTGTTCATGGGATAGTTTAATCATCTGTGTTCATGGGATAGTTTAATCATCTGTGTTCATGGGATAGTTTAATCATCTGTGTTCATGGGATAGTTTAATCATCTGTGTTCATGGGATAGTTTAATCATCTGTGTTCATGGGATAGTTTAATCATCTGTGTTCATTGGATTTCTTAATATTTATTTAGACTTTGACGTTAAAAAAAAAAAAAAGCTTTATGTTAGTTATCATGGTTTGCGATGTGTTGTTCATAATGTTAATGTAGGCCTGTTAGCTTTTTCCAAAAATTATTGAAAACTAAATTTTACTTAAATGAGTAAATAGCTCCAATTCTTGAACTTGTTTTTGGCTTGGCTTCATTTGTTTCAACGATACGTTTAAACAATTTTTTATAACAAATCACAAAATATTAATTAAAATGTTTTTAAATGTCTGCGGCCAAAGAATAGCTTTGATATATTAGGAATGTCACATTTAAGGCTGTCTTCTTTCATAAGACTTTCACTGTTGTCAATGTTGGTCGTCACATATTCAGTAGACCTATAGGCTATAAATACAATTTTAAATGTATCCTAGTGTGTCCTAGTAAACTATAATACGAATGTCGGCTTTCTGCCAGCACATAGTATTTATCGTAATATGAAATATCTAATAATAACACTCTTAGTAGTTGTTTTATTGTTGAAGTTGATTAACTTGCTTTATAACTTATAATATATTGAAATACACATTTATTTTGTTGGAGTTTTAATTCTATTGTGTTATATCTACTATGTGTTCGTTGGCTAAAAATAACAGAATAACTTCAATGAACGTTCAAGGGAAAAGTGGGTCTCAATAAGTGGGATCTATGGGACCAATGGGATCATCGGAAACGGTTTCAAAACATTTTGTTTACATTGATAAATCGAAATGTGTCCGTTGTTCGGAGGGGCTTTCGTTCAAGAATAACAACAGTGTTGATGATGATGATGACAGTAACGATGGCACTTATGAGACAGATACTGTTAATACGACACTGAATGTGGGAGAACAAGTTACATTGAATCAACGTTGTGTCGTCAAGAGCCTTCTGGCTGGGATTGTAACGTTGACCGCCATTACATTGATTGTCATCGTTTCTGCTGCCAACAGAGATCATAAGGGAGGCGAAGCTCGGAAGCCACTAAAACTGGTTAGTCTCCCCTTGCCTATGCAGCCATAGCCATTTCTCTGAATTGCTTTTGCTCTCTTCTGTAGCTCATAATATGTAATTAATTTTTTTTTAAATTTAAAATCACAATGGCTATTCAAATTGGGTATCTTAAGTTAAAATCTATCATTTATTTTCTAAGGGGATCATTACATAAATACATAAACAAAGAGCTTTTTCGTCCAGACAAACATGTCATAATATAGGTTGATAGTTTTTCTTGTAACGGGGTATTTTAATGGTGGCTCAGGTTAAAGGTCAAAGCGTTCCAAACATTACGAGAGGGAGGGGACACAATTACAGTGCGCTTAAAATCTTTCAAATGGGGTGGGGAAAAGCAGCGACAAAGGGGGTAACAAACGCTAACAAAGGTGACCAGTGGAGACTGTAGCAGAATAAAAGTGACTAAAAACATCTGAATTAGGTCAATAATTTTTTAACATTGATTTCATGTACCCATTCCATAGGTCAAACATAGCAACGAATAATAGTGGTGAATTATTTTTTAAAAAAAAATAAATGTGGTGAATTAAAATTGAATTATCTACATCTGAGGACCATCTCGTCTCTGCCTTCCGTTTGTTTATGTTCTAAGACAAGAGTCTAAGACTGTGGTGGGAAACTTGCTGCCTTGAGATTAGAGACCGACCGAAAGTGATTTTTGTATTTCGGCTGAAGCTGAAAATAGGCCGAAAGTTTAAAATGACTTTCGGCCGAAAATGAAATATTTAGATATTTTGAATTTCGTTCCCGCATATATTCTGCATACATCGAAAATGATGGTGGGAAATTATAAATATTTACATTCTTTTGTTAAAAAATGAGAGAAACTTACTTCTTCATTTTAACTAAAATAAACTACCACAAATGACATCAAAATGCCTGAGACTAATGGTACCCGGGTGCGAATGACGGCGCTGCGTGTCTGGGTCCATTTTGACTCGGTGTTATTCGGATGTCATTTGTGGTAGTTTATTTTATTTAAACTGAAGAATTAAGTTTACAAACATATAGTTCATTCAATTATTCAATTATCTTTCATTTGATATCTCATTTTGTCTTACAAACCCAACAATAAAATTTTAAATCGTCTTTTAATCCCAACCTCACACTTCTAGTACCCGGGTACTAATAGTTGCAGCCATAATATCAGGCCACTTAATCAAGCTATCCATGTTTAACAATCTGTCGCTGTCTTAGGCTCCCAAAATAGAGTAATTATTTGTGGGTATTCACCCGCTGTCTGTCGCTCAATTAATAGCCAATAGTATATTTAAGCCACTTTCTTTCTGTTTGTTTGTTGTTTGTGTTGTCCACGCCCCCGTTAGTGACCTTTGCAGCCAGCACGTTTTTGCCTGACCTCCTACGCCCCTTCCACTGCACGGCGTGTGACGTCAAGTTGTACATCTCTCCACAAAAGACACGTGGGCCCGTCTGTAGATATGAAATCTTGGAGATAAAAGTTCCAAGTAATTACCACCAAAAATGCATCATCTTTATTCCAGTTCCATTTGTTTTAAACTGGTGACTAGTCCTAATATCAGTGCACTGGCAATGTGAGCGCGCTGGCCGTGATCGTATAGTGGTTAGTACTTCGCGTTGTGGCCGCGACAACCCAGGTTCGAATCCTGGTCACGGCAAATGGCTGCTGTGTGTCTCGCACTGCCAAGCTCCATTGTTTTTTAAAAACTTTTTAAATAAAATTTATTAAATAACTTTACATTTTAACCCCTACTTCGACAACCGAAAATAATAAAAAAATCTGTTTTTCCTATTTTACAAAGGGAAGATGAAGGACACATGATGACACCAATTTCATGAAATAAAATTCCCGACAACTGCGCTAAATGAGATTCTTTTTTGAAAAAGTGGCAAGTGCGTTTGGAGCGTAATGTTTTCTTAAAGCTGTGGTTTAAAAGCCAGTGGGGGCTTTTAGAATATGAATATAATTTTTTTTTAAATGTTAATGTATTTTGAATTTATACAAAAATTGTTTGTTTTTAAGGGTTGTTTGATTATATTTATTTACTTGCAAATTAAAGTCACTATCACATCATATATGGAGGCCTGCATCAGATACATCGGCTGAAAGTGCACTGTACACTATCTGATTATTTCGGTAGGCCTGCATCATATACATCGGCTGAAAGTGCACTGTACACTATCTGATTATTTCGGTAGGCCTGCATCAGATACATCGGCTGAAAGTGCACTGTACACTATCTGATTATTTCGGTAGGCCTGCATCAGATACATCGGCTGAAAGTGCACTGTACACTATCTGATTATTTCGTACCAGGGTTTAACCAGCCGCAGTACACTAGGTCCGGATATTTTGAGAAAATACCCACTGGTTCAAACAAAGAAGATTTCACTTCTCATGTTCTATAAGATGCAACGAGATCCACTGCCCTATGTCGTAGTGAGAGTGCATTGCCCCCATGTTTTTGTCAGAGTGCATTGCCCTATGTCGTAATGAGAGTGCATTCCCCCATGTTTTAGTCAGAGTGCATTGCCCCATGTTGAGTGCATTGCCCTATGTCGTAGTGAGAGTGCATTGCCCCATGTTTTAGTCAAAGTGCATTGCCCTATGTCGTAGTGAGAGTGCATTGCCCCATGTTTTAGTCAGAGTGTATTGCCCTATGTCGTAGTGAGAGTGCATTGCCCCATGTTTTAGTCAGAGTGCATAGCCCCATGTTTTAGTCAGAGTGCATTGCCCTATGTCGTAGTGAGAGTGCATTGCCCCATGTTTTAGTCAGGGTGCATTGCCCTATGTCGCAGTGAGAGTGCATTGCCCCATGTNAGAGTGTATTGCCCTATGTCGTAGTGAGAGTGCAGTGCCCCATGTTTTAGTCAGAGTGCATAGCCCCATGTCTTAGTCAGAGTGCATTGCCCTATGTCGTAGTGAGAGTGCATTGCCCCATGTTTTAGTCAGGGTGCATTGCCCTATGTCGCAGTGAGAGTGCATTGCCCCATGTTTTAGTCAGGGTGCATTGCCCTATGTCGTAGTGAGAGTGCATTGCCCCATGTTTTAGTCAGAGTGCATTGCCCTATGTCGTATTGAGAGTGCATTGCTTCCGTCAACCGTTTGTGTCAAGAAAAGAAAAAAAAACACTGATAGGAAACAGACAGTTGCCGGATCCCGGAGTAGAAATGACGTTGTACAAAATCACGTCGACGGAGAAGATGCTGTCGTTAATTTTATAACAAAGAAAAAAACTGTCGTATAACGAAAATAGCAGTAGCATCCTGTACCAGGCTGTGGGAAATGATCACAGGCGCAGGCATGCCCGAAGTGAAAGAACGGCCCATGACCCAGTTCTGTGTGGTGTGCAGCCTATGACCTAGTTCTATGTGGTGTGCAGCCCATGACTCAGTTCTGTGTGGTGTGCAGCCTATGACCTAGTTCTGTGTGGTGTGCAGCCTATGACCTAGTTCTATGTGGTGTGCAGCCCATGACTCAGTTCTGTGTGATGTGCAGCCCATGACCCAGTTCTGTGTGGTGTGCAGCCCATGACCCAGGTCTGTGTGGTGTGCAGCCCATGACCCAATTCTGTGTGGTGTGCAGCCCATGACCCAGTTCTGTGTGGTGTGCAGCCCATGACCCAGGTCTGTGTGGTGTGCAGCCCATGACCCAATTCTGTGTGGTGTGCAGCTCATGACCCAGTTCTCTGTGGTGTGCAGCCCATGACCCAGCTCTGTGTGGTGTGCAGCCCCCGAACAAAGATGTGAAAAAACAGATTTTTTGCCTCAGTGCTTTTATATAAAACTTGTGGATTTTAAAAATAAAAAAAAAATTATTATTATTATTATTTATTTTTTTTAGGGGGGGGGGGTTGAGTTGAAGAGGAAGCAGGATGCACCAGAAGCAAACTATATATAAGTTATTATAAGAGATGATCTGAAACTATTGAAAGTACTACTAAATGGTGTGGTGTTATTTAGGCTTGCCCTGATTTAATAGCAGCATAATCGCTAAACTTATCAAAATCACAAGGCTAAGTTCAAACTGTTCTTAACAACGCATCAAAATTCAACCCAATGAACCCATCCGTCGTTTCATTATCTAAGATACAAAGGCGAGTAGTCTCCCAATTCAGTCGACCCACTAACAAAATTTCCCCTGCGCTGTGATGTCTGCCTTCCATCTCACAGGTCAGCAGCGGACAGACCGCCGGTGGAGACCAACGCATAACTCTGAGGCATCAGTTTCTCATCCGTGACGTTGCAGGCACTGGTCACTCTCAGGTCATGTCGCTTGATGACGACAAAATGATGTACGTCATCGAGGACACTGAGAGCAAATATTACAATTCGTACATCGTTGTGGACTTTACCGAGGTGAGTCGTCATGACCTTAGGGCACGTACAGTAGGACACTAGTGCTACTCAAACTTAGGGCACATACTTACAGTAATACACTGGTGCTACTCAAACTTAGGGCACATACAGTAATACACTGGTGCTACTCAAACTTAGGGCATAAACTAACGCTGTTCAAACTGTTTCTGTGTAACGGAAGCAGGGACTATATTAATCACATTGCAGAAGGAACCGATGAAAAATTTAATGATAATTTTACTCTTTTAAAAATCATTAAAAATGTTCCAGGCTTTAGCAGACTGACTGAGGAACAGATTTGAATGTCAATAAGTTTTTAATAATATTTTTTTTAATAAAACAAAATAATGTTTTTGTTTTTCTTTTGGTTTATTCAGGTTTGGAGCAAAAAATGTTATAACTTAATTAGATCAAATTTAAAAATCTTGGCATTCACCCCGCTAGTTACAATTCTAAGCTACTCACTGTTTATTTTATGGTTTCGTGTTGAAAAAAAAATTGCCCCCATAACAGACCCTCAGCAAGGTTTCCGAGAATTGTACTTCACGGCCCGATGTTTTTGCTTTCGTGACCCGATTTTGGAAACAGTGGCCAACAGAACATTTTATTTCAAAATAAATACTTTTAACTGTTGGAAACAGTGGCCAACAGAACATTTGATCTAAAAATAAATACTTTTAACTGTTGGAAACAGTGGCCAACAGAACATTTGATCTAAAAATAAATACTTTTAACTGTTGGAAACAGTGGCCAACAGAACATTTGATCTAAAAATAAATCCTTTTAACTGTTGGAAACAGTGGCCAACAGAACATTTTATTTCAAAATAAATACTTTTAACTGTTGGAAACAGTGGCCAACAGAACATTTGATCTAAAAATAAATACTTTTAACTGTTGGAAACAGTGCCAACAGAACATTTGATCTAAAAATAAACGGTAGACTTTTTACTAACGAACAAAATAAATATACATAAAATAAAGTGGCTGTTTCTAAATTTCCTGTGCACATCTCAATTGCCGTTGAAAAAATCGGTTTAATATGATTAGAACACCAGTAGACTAAATGAGCAACTAGAACACCAGTAGACTAAATGAGCAACTAGAACACCAGTAGACTAAATGAGCAACTAGAAAACCAGTAGACTAAATGAGCAACTGGAACACCAGTAGACTAAATGAGCAACTAGAACACCAGTAGACTAAATGAGCAACTAGAACACCAGTAGACTAAATGAGCAACTAGAACACCAGTAGACTAAATGAGCAACTGGAACACCAGTAGACTAAATGAGCAACTAGAACACCAGTAGACTAAATGAGCAACTAGAACACCAGTAGACTAAATGAGCAACTAGAACACCAGTAGACTAAATGAGCAACTGGAACACCAGTAGACTAAATGAGCAACTGGAACACCAGTAGACTAAATGAGCAACTAGAACAGCAGTAGACTAAATGATCAACTAGAACACCAGTAGACTAAATGAGCAACTAGAACACCAGTAGACTCAATGAGCAACTGGATAGTTTGTAATGAGTGAAGTTTCGACTTTATAAAAAATTGAAGTTTACAAGTTGTTACATTCGAAAAAAATTATCCAGCACGAATATTTTGAATCAAATCAGTTTTTTTAGCATTGACCACGGAATTAAGATGATCTGATAGTATTTCTTCTTCTGTGACATAGACGTACAAATGTAAACTACCTAAAAGGACGTCATTGTTTAGAAGATTAAGCTAAATAAACAAATAATGTTTGTGTCAGTTTACCTAAATAATCAGTTAATGTTAGTGTTAATTTGCCTTTTGAATATTTGTTTGTTTTGTTTGCTTCTTCTAGGAAAAGGAGACCTTTTTGATCGTGGCTAAGTCCAAGAATGAGTTTGGTACAGACATCCAAGAGACATTGGTACTCTTCTGTGAAACGAGTCAGTTTGATCGAGCTTTTCACGGCACCTTTGCCCAAGCGTCAAACATTTTGAAAGTATTCACTGATTTATTTTAATGAAGGGAACACAAAATATTGCAGATGTTCGCTCCACACTCTACAACTTTAAAGTGTTCATCTTATTATCTCGACTTAAATTATGACACAATATCGAGCAATTCGCTTTTGTTGTTTTTTCAAAAATCTTGTTAAAGAATCTTCCATGTAGCCTACTCAGGGTCGGGGTTAGCAAAACTGTTAAATAATTTTTAGTTTTGAAAGTTTTATTACAACTAAGTAGGCTATAAGAAATAAAACATAAAGGTTACTTAGATTTTATATATAACATATAATGGTCTATTTCAATTCATCTTAACTAAGTCTTGCCATTGGATCAAATGGGGAGACAACTTTTTGTGTGTGTTACAACGGTCTCATTCCTACGCGTTATAATCGCCCCCACCCCTTGCCTCAAACCCAGTATTATCAAACTTCGCTTTGTCGATGAGCACCCCAATGAATGTTATAATATACCGATGTATCCTTATTTTTCACAAAAATTATAATTAATTAAAGTAATATCTCAAGTTTTCAAAATAGTTATTGCAGTTAAAATGCAATTTTAATGAAATGAAAGGAAAACATATTTAAATATATATATATATATATACAGTGCTTTTTTGTGCCGGTACGCACCGGTACGGCGTAACGGCACCTTTTTCATTGTGGGGAAAAAATTATTACTTTTCTTGTATTTTAACGTTTATTATTAATTTATTATAGTACTAATTTGTTAAAACTGAATTACTTTAAAATTGCATCTTTGCAGTTGTGATTAAGCTTGCATCGAGATGCGAACTGGTAGTTAAAAGTTGGGCAATCCATCACTGAGTACCCTATTTTTTTTTTACAAAAAAAGCACTGTATATATATAACTATTCAATCGGCGTGCTAACCGTAAGTAAAGAAACGCTCACTTATACACAGTGTTATACATAGTGTCATCCAGTTGTCCTAATTATAAACATTCTTTTAAAATAAAATCTTAACCACTGGTCTTCTAGTTTAAAGTATTACCGTCAGTCCAAACAAATTATTAGGTATTGCACTCATTTTTTTTCTCAATAATTCCGATAATGTTTTCAAATAGTTACACATTTTAAAACAAATTTGTTGTGGGATATCCAATTATTTCCTTTAAAGAGACTACCTGTTATACCCTTCAGAAACGTTGGTTGGGAAAAAAGGAATAAGCCCATCACGGAAGAGTTGATCAACAGCATAACATTCTTCATTCGTGTAAAAAAAAAACCAACATATTTTCCGTGAATTAAGTATTTACAATTTTGTATGTGGTCAAAATGAAGCCCCTGGTATTAGGCGCTTCAGGCAGTTGCCCGCTTGGCCTGTACCTTAAGGCTGGAACTTAACATACTTTAAACACTTTTTACAAATAAATCCAAGTACTTTTTATTTTTTTTAAGGCTTTCTTTGTCGTGTTATCATTAGCAGGTTTTAAAATTTTTTTTTTTTAAAATCAGGTAGCTGAGTTTGAGGGCGTCCACAAGGGGTCAAAGGTCAAGTTTGTCAGTTCTTACATTGGAGCGCCCGCAACTCTTGGTCGATTCTTGTCTCTTGTCGTTAACGGCAGCTGTGAAAATTTGACGAAAAGATATTTATTTTCCTGGGAGAACTTGGGTGAGCCAAACTCTGACGGCTTCTTAGTTATACTTCTATTTATAGATGGGGCTGGAAATGGAAATGCAACGAATGTCAAATTTAATGGATTACGTCATAATCATTAGGGAACTGCGCAGTAGTGTCTTTAAACAAATATTTAAAGATTTTATTAAACATATTAACTTTGCATAAAAATTGTGTTTGTTTGGCCAATTTGAGCTAATATTAGATTTAACAGATAATCGAATGATATTTCAAATGACCTTTAGAAATGTTGCATTTTATTTTTAAAATTTCACACAAAAACGGAGATCATTTGGCAATTTTGCGTAAAATTACGCCCCCTTTGAAATTGTCTTTCTCGCTTCGTTCGCTAGTAAATTCTAAGTTTATTATTATTTTTTTTTAACGTTTAATTATTATTATTATTATTATTATTATTCGGTTGAATTAATGTATCATTAGAACGAAAGGGAAAAAAAATAAAATTTCAATTTTGTGCGTTGCAAAAAAGTTAAATGTAATAAATCTCTTTAACATTTCCAATTTCAGATGAATCTCTGGCTTGTGGGGCTAAAATTGTCATGAACACGGAGTTGGGCAAATGTCCCCAAGATTTATGTGGGTATGGACTATTTTACCGACCGGGGGTGGGGGGTCCTAATAACAAAGGACAAAAGGGCAATTTGGCATACGCTTCTTAGGTCTCGCACTTTTAACACACATTCTGTATAATTTATTCTTCACCAATGAGCGAAATTAATTTTTTTGATTACTGCACCCAGTGCACACGGGCGTCTATCCCTCCCCCCCCCCCTAAGTGGGGGAATCCTAACCCTCCTCCCCACGGAATTGGTCAGGTCTGCATGTATTGGTTTGCAGTGCTACTTTCAGACAAGTTGTTCCTCCCGAGGGGTGGGCAGTTCACATGTTCGGGTGGACAGTGTCAGTGGTGGAGCAATGGATGGAAGGGGTTGATTCAAACCCGTTGTCCTTTTTTTTCTTGTGTGTTTTCGGTTACCTGAAAAATTATTACCGTGGAAAGGGGTGGCGAAAACCTTGGCCAGTCCAGGGTGGCACTAATCCTTGCGATGCCTTTGGGTAGGGCGTCTATCAAGGTCAAATTTGGTCATAATGACGACCAGGGCCAGATGTTACTTGCCGCCCCCCCCCTGCTTAACACAAAATAGGCCTATTTAAACTTTTGTTTTAAAATACAATTCTGGAACTATAACATCAACTAGAACGTCTAATTAACATTTCGCATGTTAGATCAAAGTTTAAGTCCAAATTGTTACTTGCTTTTTAAAAAAAAATATTTAAGTGATGAAATATTTCCCTGTAGGCTGTTCGCAGGAAATCCGTTGTCTCGTGGACTGGCGTGTAACAAATTCCGCTCCTGCAACTACGTAATGGGAGCGTGCAACCCTTTTTACATCCACAAGCCCAGAAACATACAAACCCGTCCTTTCTGCGTGTGTAGGCGGACAGCGTCTGCTGATGCCGGGAGACTTGAATGTCCGGAAACGGAGGACGATGGTGGAGAGTGCGAGATTCCGAAACGTGACCTGTTGATCAGTCAGTCGAATCTTGCCTGTCTGTGTTTCTATCAAATCCTGGTCGCGTACCCTTACCTGTCCGAGGGTGCAGGCGTTCCGGGAGATGACAGCCGTGAAGGGAGGGAACTCGTTCAATGGATGATGAGAGATGACTTGGTTACAGGCCCTGCCATAACGTATTCACAGTGCCCTTGTTAATCAGACGTGCTCTTATTGTGACATTCAGAGATTATGGATTATAGGAAGCTCTATTTTTGGACATGACAAATACTACACGCGGATGTGTGTATTAATCCTGAAAATGGGCCATTGCGTGAAATGTCATTTATAAGTATACGGTCATGCGCAGTAACTCCACAACCACATTCTTACTAGGTTTGATGCTGTGCAACACTATCACCGAATTCTACCCTCCATGGTGCCCCTGTGTTACATTCTAAGTGAAGTCTGCTCCAAGATGTCCATGTGTTACATTATAAGTGAAGTCTGGTCCATGGTGTCCCTGTGTTACATTCTAAGTGAAGTCTGCTCCATGGTGTCCCTGTGTTACATTCTAAGTGAAGTCTGCGCCATGGTGTCCCTGTGTTACATTCTAAGTGAAGTCTGCTCCATGGTGTCCCTGTGTTGCATTCTAAGTGTAGTCTGCTCCATGGTGTCCCTGTGTTACATTCTAAGTGAAGTCTGCTCCATGGTGTCTCTTTGTTAGATTCTAAGTGAAGTCTGCTCCATGGTGTCCCTGTGTTACATTCTAAGTGTAGTCTGCTCCATGGTGTCCCTGTGTTACATTCTAAGTGAAGTCTGCTCCATGGTGTCTCTTTGTTAGATTCTAAGTGAAGTCTGCTCCATGGTGTCTCTTTATTAGATTCTAAGTGAAGTCTGCTCCATGGTGTCTCTTTATTAGATTCTAAGTGAAGTCTGCTCCAGGGTGTCTCTTTATTAGATTCTAAGTGAAGTCTGCTCCATGGTGTCCCTGTGTTTCTAAGTGAAGTCTGGTCTTCCGTTTCATGGTGTCTGTATATAACTGTCTTTAAAAAAAGTCTGTAGTATAAATAAAGAAACAACCATACATTTTCAGTATTTTGTATTTCCCTCTTTAATACATGAAAAATCATTCCAATGTAAAGTGTAAAGATCTGTTGTACGTATAAAGGTACATTTTAATTTTTAAAAACAACATATCAAACCAAGAGTAGAAAGTAATAAAATCATAATGGATAATCTAATAGACTTATTTACGATGCATGACAGAATAAAACATTTCTCATTCAAGACAAAGAACAGAAATAAAGCCACAAAAAATAATTTAGAAAAACTTTTAGAAGTAAAAAATAATTTGAAATGAGAATAAAGACCCAGAAACATCCAATGCACATTTGTCTGAACTACTCAATATCACATTTTTCTGAACTACTCAATGTCACATTTGTCTGAACTATTCAATGTCACATTTGTCTGAACTATTCAATGTCACATTTGTCTGAACTATTCAATGTCACATTTGCCTGAACTATTCTATGTCACATTTGTCTGAACTATTCAATGTCATATTTTTTGAAGTGCTTGCAAACCTGTTATGTCATTTTTATTCAGAATGTAGGCTGGATGACAGTTTCTCATGACAAAACCAATGAGTTCAACTTGACCAGCTATGTTCACATTATAGTTTAACATTACCAATGAGTTCAACTTGACCAACTATGTTCACATTATAGTTTAACATTACCAATGAGTTTAACTTGACCAGCTATGTTCACATAACTGTTTACAGCTTGTTGTTATATTTGCAAACATTTCTCAAGTCAGAGTAAACAACAATCTTATGAAGCAAGCTCTGGTCAATACAATCACATAAATAACATTTGAGCAAGCCAATAAATACTGCACACACACTGTCAAACATTCTGCAATGCATAATTCATACCATCTTCTATTTTAAAGTTTCTGACAACATAATAGAGCATTGATATGTCATACGATTTGCCAATGAACAAATTTAATGGAAATATTTCATTAGATTGAGACTTGAAACAAGTCGTAGGTGTACGCATACATAAATGTTACCACATATTGAAATACAAACTGTTGAGCCCTTACAACATTTTGTTACGGTAAGGAAATGTTTTCTTCTCATTTGGCTGGTGTAAAGAAATATCTGTCCATCCAATAGAATAAAGTTACAAATAAAACAAAAAATCTCAAAGTTGGTTGGGCAAGTTGTTAATACTCACAACTTTTTATTTTGCACAGAACTTGTTTATATTTCTTGCACTGCATACATTCCCTTTACAACATAAGACTAACATGAGATGTTCAGTGTGCATTTATTCAGCTTGTAAATACTTTCAATACTACCGTTCACGTAGCTCTTGTATTTTTTACTCTCTTGCAACACAACTTAATTTTAACTAGTATTTGTTTTAAAAAACATAACAGATCTTGTAAACTGAATTAAATGCAAAAATCTGGTATATACATGATCACATGTAAATGATAATTCATCAGCATTTTCATGTACATAAATGACAGTTCTGAGCAGATTTTATTCTTAACATTTTCATTGAAATTATTTTGAAACACTATAAAATTTAGTATTTCATTATAAGAAAAATCATTTTATAACTAATAATGAAAATAATGGATTTATTGAGTAAAAAAGAGTTTGATCCAATAAGGAAATGTCTACAGCAATTGGTTGGATTATTTAGCAATGCAGGTCATTCTTTAATTGGACACTTTTCACTCAAGTTGGGTGTCAAATTCTACAGAGAAAACCTAGACAGCTGGATGTTTTTACAACTCCATGGACTAGAGCAACATGGGTGATTTACAACAAGGTTTAATGTGGCATGATTCTAGTGCATCAGGCGAAATAGCTCTGTGATTGCAACTTTGCCATTGGTTTTCATTGGAAACACTGGTTTACAGATGAACTTACAGTATTAAAAGAATAAAAAAAGAGAAACAAAATTTTGTGACATTTGAACATTTGTAATGGTTATCTCAAATTACCCTGTAAAGTTTATAAAAAAAAACAAGAAGCTTGAATGAGAAAAATATTTTTAAACTATTATTTCTCTTACAAAAAAATAATCCCTCCATTGCAGAAAGCAGTGAATACAAGCAATACTCCAAAAAATACCAGACCAACTGCTTCAATGTGAAGACAGGCTAGTATTTAAATGCATAGACAATTAAAAAAAATGTTTTCTTTAATAAAAAAAAAAAAGGATTTAATAGCTTAACATCCATGCAAAGATCTGGAACTCCGAGAGATATGAAAGGATTTATAAAAATATTTTTAAACTATTATTTCATTTACAAAAAAATAATCCCTCCATTGCAGAAAGCAGTGAATACAAGCAAAACTCCAAAAAATACCAGACCAACTGCTTCAATGTGAAGACAGGCTAGTATTTAAATGCATAGACAATTAAAAAAAATGTTTTCTTTAATAAAAAAAAAAAAAAGGATTTAATAGCTTAACATCCATGCAAAGATCTGGAACTCCGAGAGATATGAAAGGATTTAATAGCTTAACATCCATGCAAAGATCTGGAACTCCGAGAGATATGACACAAACTAAATGACAGACAAAATGCTTTTAAGTAATTCAAATAACTTAATTCTGAATGGGGATGTGAATCTTCATGTCATCGCACACTTCCCTGATGGCCTTCAGGAGTGTCTTCATGTCATCAGCATCAAGATCCCCAATTGTTCCTATTCTGAAGCAGTCAATGTCTAGAACTTTCCCTGGGTAAATGACAAGATCTGGTTGGGGTGGGGGGATGGGTACAGTTGGGATATTAGACATTCATGTTTCATTACACTTTCCATTATAAACTAATTTATAAGTTACTAATGTTATCTTTATTTAAGCCAGTATTAGAAACTATTTGAACTTTCATTTAATTTTTAAAATTCCAACGGTTTCAATTTTAAATAATGTAATTAAAAAAATATTTGACATACGTCTTGAATGCAAGCTATATACCTTTATTTACCAGTCAACTAACTAATGGCTCTGTGCATGAAGTGATTAGTCATGAACACAAAAATACCTTTGTCATTGAGTCGGTTGTAAAACTCAGTGAAGCTGAAGTTGGGGTCCTTGGGGTACAGGTAAGAAGTGATGATATAACCAGCTATCTTCTCATCCAGTAGCTCTTTAAATCCAAGTTCTGACATGCCTTTCTTCAAGATGGTGCGGTTATTCTCATATCTGTTGAAAAATATAACTTAGAGGCTGTTCATTTTGTTTAATAGAAACTGCAATATTTAGTAAATGTTAAAGAGTCAGCATTTAAGGAATGCAGAACAGCGCCCTGAGTCTTACGGAATAGGCTGATCTTGAAGAGGTCGACTTTGTGTCATGGAAATATTTCTGTCTTGAGTTTCTGAGAATGTTATATGTAAGACTAAATTCCATCAGAGTGATTGAAACCTGATAAGATACAGGGGTTAATTGTAGCCCAAAAAATGCTGCTGCACACTTACTCAACTTTAGATACGGTGAGCACACTTACTCAATGTCAGATACGGTGAGCACACTTACTCAATGTCAGATACGGTGAGCACACTTACTCAAAGTCAGATACGGTGAGCACACTTACTCAACGTCAGATACGGTGAGCACACTTACTCAATGTCAGATACAGTGAGCACACTTACTCAACTTTAGATATGGTGAGCACACTTACTCAATGTCAGATACGGTGAGCACACTTACTCAATGTCAGATACAGTGAGCACACTTACTCAATGTCAGATACGGTGAGCACACTTACTCAACTTTAGATATGGTGAGCACACTTACTCAATGTCAGATACAGTGAGCACACTTACTCAATGTCAGATACAGTGAGCACACTTACTCAACTTTAGATACGGTGAGCACACTTACTCAATGTCAGATACGGTGAGCACACTTACTCAATGTCAGATACGGTGAGCACACTTACTCAATGTCAGATACGGTGAGCACACTTACTCAATGTCAGATACGGTGAGCACACTTACTCAATGTCAGATACGGTGAGCACACTTACTCAATGTCAGATACGGTGAGCACACTTACTCAACGTCAGATACGGTGAGCACACTTACTCAACGTCAGATACGGTGAGCACACTTACTCAATGTCAGATACAGTGAGCACACTTACTCAAAGTCAGATACGGTGAGCACACTTACTCAACGTCAGATACGATGAGCACATTCAGTACAACATTAAACCACTGACAATGAAAACTGAAACAATTCTAAAATAGTATTTTCAGATTCTTTTAAGCTACTTTATAATAAATGCAGGATTCTGGCGGAAGCCTTTACCACACAAGCAATAGCAAGGAACAACCAAAAGGCCATTTCCAAGCTTCATCCTACTTTAACTCGGATAAAGTTTTTTTTAATGTTTTTTTTTCAGCCACAGTTACTTGAAATGAGATGAACTGTGGTCATAAACAGTTATTCTTAAATTATTTTTCCTATGCTGCTGTTGTGTTAATTCCTAAATTTCCAATTATGACCAAGTACTGAGGCACTGAAACAATGCATATTTTCATATCAACAAAATAGTTTTCTGAAATATCCCTAGGACCAGCTCGGGGAGGAATTTTGGGTTTGTATTCAGTTTTGTTTTTTTATAACATTTGCAGCCTGATTTGACTTTCTATGGGATTGAGCTGATAGCTAACAGTTTTGGCCAGATTGGAATTAAATAAGGTAAAGTAGCTTTAACCTTTTGGCTCTTCCTTGAACACCACCTTCTTGCTCAAACTCAATCAGTGCCTGTTTGAAGGCAAGCATGGAGTGTGTGGCCGGTGTGAACCGGAACTGGTTGGTCTTGTCAAGTTGTTTAGCTTGGTCATAAAGGTCTAAGGCAAGGCTTCGGGAATTGCCTGTAAGATTGAGAGCAGGAATACATTTTAAACTTCAAAGCAAAGAGCAGAAGTCAACTTTACTTAAAAGTCAAACTTTCATAAAATGAAATAGTGAGTTTTTTAAGGACAGCAGTTTCAGAAAAACATTGTGCTTATTTTTAGATTTTAGAATTTATATTCTTAACACCGATATTGCTTGTTGCTTTTGTAGTTTTTAAGGAATTAATTTCAAATTCCACTATAACAAAGAAGTATTTTCCTTGCAATTGAAAAGATATTTCTTGACCATGAAATCACAAAACCGAAATGACTAATTGCTATCCTGGAAACCATAGTTTCCCAGTGGTCAGGGGGAAAATTTTTTTTTAACAATTTCCCTTGTACATTAGTTTAAGTTTCATAGGTATTTAAAGTGTTAAAGCTCTTTGACCAAAAATACACCCTTACAAGGCCATGAAACGTTCTGAGCAGTTCTTTACTTGAAACAATCTCTAAAAAAATTCCTTGACATACCTTTACATTGGTCAAGAACACTGTTTCGTGCTAGGACAAAGGCAAACCCTGGGACTCCTTGAAGACATTTATTAGCTGAACTAATCATGACATCAATACAGCTCTTTTCCAGGTCAATGGGTACAGCACCAAAACTACTGACGGCATCAACTAAATAGATGGAACCTGCAAGTAAAAGAAAAAAAAAGTGATTTTAGCACATATTCGAATACCGATATTTATAAATTACAATCTTAATTAATGCAGAAAGACACAAGGTTTTATAAATCCTTAGCCACAACAATTGTATTTACATATATTAGTTATTATGAAAGATAATAAAATAGAGTTAAACCTACTTAGACCTTGATTCTGACTCAACTCAGAATGACCTTGATTCTGACTCAATTCAGAATGACCTTGATTCTGACTCAACTCAGAATGACGGAAGTTGAAAAATGTATGCCCCAAAAACATATTTTTGTTGGCTCCTGTTCAATCACACGGTTGTAACTTGAGCTCAACAAGATCTCTATTGTGAGTTCTTAGCCAATTACTTCTTAGTACACAAGTGCAACATACTTTAGCCATTTTAATTTTTAAAAATGTAATCAAGCCTATTGAGAGTGAATACTTGTGCACAACCCACCTGGAGAAAGTTCCCTGACAATGTTGCCCACCTCCAACACTGGGTTGATGACACCGGAGCTTGTCTCACTGTGCACAATGGCTACCAGATCATAGCGGGTCTGTCCACTAAGAGCATCCTCCACCACATCAGGTTCAACTTGCCTGTCTTCTCTGAAACTCTGAACATCACAGCTTATACCTGCAGCTTCACAAATCTTTGCCATCCTCTTACCATAAGCACCATTTTCAATTATTAGAGCCTGTGCAGAAGATAGCAAATCAAAATATTTGTTGTCATTACCAGTGTTATTCACCTCCTTGCATTTGTATTCTCGTCAGTGCCTACTTAGGTCAAATGTCAGTACCTAGTATGATCAAGCGGGGGATCAACAGTCCATTACACACCAAGAAATAAATAAATGCGAACAAGTGCTGTAAGCCTCACTTATTTTATTAATAGATATGTACACACCGGCAAGCGTTTGTTTTGTGTATACTGGAATTACTTCTTAACATACCTTGGCTCCTTCTCTAGGTAACACTGTCTGAAATGATGCATCAACAGCAAATGTTCCACTGCCCTGTATAGGAATGCAGCTAAAGTCTTTGCTTGATACACCTAAAACAGAAAGTTTATTTGACTTTTTATGACCTATCTTAAATATGGATGACTCCTAAAAGTATAAGAGGCAATTCTTTGAGCTACCAACAGCCCATTGCAGTCTTCTCTCTTATATTTCATCCTATTTGGAATGAAAATTAAGAGAATTGTGTTTTTAATTTTTTTTTTAAACATTAGGGAGTTCAATGGTAGCTACACCGCATTTCTTAATTATTTTTATTAATTTATTTTTATTGAATTGAAGTACATAACATGATTCACTGTTGAATATTTTGTACCATACATGTTTAGCACAAGCTTCAATCAGACAGATTCTTTTCATTAGCCTGTTTACCTTTACTTGACCACCAAAGGTGTCTTGTGCCAGCAGCTACAGCCTAAAAAATAATTTTTCTTTTAAACAAAAAATCATTTACCTGCAATTTCTAAAATCCTCGATCGAATAAATTTGATACATTCAATAAATTCTTTGTCTCTTGAGCCAACATCTCGTAACATTGCCTCCTTTACTGTCATCGTTACACCTAGCGGGCCCGGTGTAAATAAAACTTTGTCTAGGAACAAAAGAGAAATGTAATATTATATCCCTATACATTTTAAAACACAATTTAACAGTGCTCTGAACTTATATTGACGAATGTCAAAAGTATTTTGTTCTGTTAGCCAGCAACCTGCTACTCTTTGAATTAAATAAGGCTCTTTTTCACTATCAAACATTTCTTTAAACAAATATCATGTGCCAAAACATTTTTAAAAATGTTTCAAGTTCTTGTATACTTTATTACTTTATTGTCCAATTATATTTGTGTCTTCATCACTGTAACTGCATGCCTGCAGTAAAATTTATAATTAATGTAGTCTCTAAATTTAAGGCGGGGCCATCCATAAATGACACACTATTATATTATGGCAGACTTTTTATTTTCGAAGTGTCTACACGTCCGGCGCGCCGGACGTGTAGTGCGCAAGATACACGTCCGGCGACTTGTCATGTGACCGCCGGACATGGCCGGACGGCTAGTAGTTTTTATAATTCCAAACGAAGTACGATTTAGTGTATCTTGTTTGGTCTGTGGTAGAGTGGTTGCTTGACGATAGGAATAGGAATGTTTGAGGATCTATACCGTGGATAGGGTCGTTTTTTTCTTCCCATTTTAATTAAAATATTTTGTATATATTTATATTATCATGTTTCTCAGCAACAGTAGTTTCATGAGAAGTGTTTAAATATTTTGTAGCAATTGAAATAATTTAAAATGAAATCTTTAACTTTTATTGGTTGCCACACTGGCCCCTAATTTATTTTATGGATTACTGGTACACAAAAAATAACAAACTAAACAAAAATGTTTACAAGCCACTTTCACTTAAGTTTCTTTTTCTATTATTTGCATTCAAGATACTCAGTACATTACTTGGTAGAGAAATAAATTTTAAAATTAACAATAGTTTTGAATTATTCGCAGTCACGTGACAAGGCTGACCGACAAGATATTATCTCTCGCCACTTTGTTACGGCGGTCATGTGACTTGGTCGCCGGACACATAGTGCGGGAGATAGACGTCCGGCGCGCCGGACGTGTAGACACTGCCTTTTATTTTTGTCCCCCTTCCCTTATTTTAAAAATGTATAGCTAAAATTAGACAACCTCATCACAAATTTGTGACCCAACAAGAAAACCTTATACTTGATTTATTCTCCTCGTTGATTGTTAGAACCATTAATATTTTCTTTTGTATTGATTAGGCACGGGGAGGAGCCTTACTAACTAAAAGTAAAAGAGTTGAGTGAGGGGCTTGTTAGTTTGTGGTTGGTTTTTTGTCTTTGTCATGTGTTAAATTATATCTCATGTCTGCACTGTTATTATGGTTACTCCTCCACTGTGACTACTGTATTTAGCCTACTGCTACTTGTATTACCGGTTATTAGTTTTAATTTTAGTTTTTTTACTAAAAATTTTTTAGTCTTTACTCTTCACTTTACTTAAAATAGTTATTCAGATTTTATTATTTAAGCAATTTCTTACCTTTAATACCTCTGTGTTGCCTAGCTCTAGTAGCAGACGTAGAAACCATTCTGACATGAGAATTAGTTGAATTTCGATGGACATGTGAATTTCTGCTTGAAAGCATAGCACAAATTAAAGGTGCCGTTGAAAGTTGCTTATGAGCTGATTGTCGAGTTAACAAACTTGAACACCGATGAATACATTCCACAGTAGTTTTAGCGGCCATACTTTTTTTTTTATTGCACTCTTTTTCACGTGGCTCGAATCACTTGCTCTAACTCCAAGTTCAAACTAGTATACTGGCTAATACTAGCTAGGGTTCCGACTTAGACAATTATATTGCGGCCCACTTTTGTTATCTCCTATTAACTTTACACCAACAGCAATCGAATCTCACTCGCAGCCTATGGTCATGTGATAAATCACGTGACAAATTGAGGGAGTAAAAAAAATAATTATTAACAAATTATTATTTCGGCTTTAATAAGTTTGATAATAATTGTATTAATTAGTGCTGATAAGTCGACTCTTCCTTTTTTCCTTCCCTCGACGACTTTCTGATTTAAAAAAAAAACAAATTTGTATTTGTAGCTGGCGAATTGCTATTTATGTTTAAAATATTCATAAAGTTTTTTAAATCTAAGAATCGTATTCAAAATGCTTTCCATTTATTTGTTGTATTACTGAACACCGGTGCCGCTAACATTTCGCTGCCTTTATCTTAACGTCTTGAACTCAATAGGCAAATGCCTTGCCGAACTTACTGACATTTTAGAGTTTTTACTTCGAGATATTAACCGTTTGACAAATCAGTTATCGCAAGCAATAACTTTAATGGCTCCAGTGAGGATTAATCACATTCACTCCACTCACTGTACATAGCCCGTGACTTTATCATTAGCATGATTCGGCCAGTGGCTCACATCAGTTTCTAAAAAGTGTTGTTGTCTGTTGTGTTTTTTTTATCGCGGAAGGTGCACACATTAAAAAAATATATAATTAAGAATTGAAAACTTATAGGGATTCTCAAGTTATATTGTTTAAATTTCAGAATAATTTATAGGCCTATGCATTAGGCTCCATTAAGCATATTGACCCATATTGACCGGCTTTATGGAACGAATAGCCTAGGTGTGTTCAAGAAAGGTTTTTACAAAAAAAAAAGTTGGGGGGGGGGGGAAGGGTTGTGCTTTGCAGTATAGGAAACGATGTAAAGAAAGAACCTATGCGGCATGCGCCTAAAATTATATACCTAAAGAACACCATTGAGATACTAGCGCATTCTCTGGCGTAGAAACACTGTATGTCTCTCATAGGCCTACATGACACTACTCGAGACAATGAGGAGATTGTTTAAGTTGTTCATTGCGAGTGGGGGGGGGGAGAGAAGGGGGATATGTAGGACATTATAAAGTGAACTAAAAAATACATCGATACGAGGTAGTTTATGTCACTATGGCCTTGTACCGTGCTGCTTGGCTCGAGGTTCCCCAAGGCTTGTTGGAATGTGGCGTGTATGGGCTGTATGTTCATGGGATACACGAATCAAGTAAAATGGCTTATGTGTTATTTTCACATAAATGAAGTTAAGCTCGGAATTGTAAAAAAGGGGGAACAGTTCAGATTCAGATAAGTTGTAAACATTTTTAGGGGTTTTATAATATTTGAAAGATGAGTAATATGTACACATGAAACTATTTGGGTCCCAAGATTCTTTTGGTTTCGCGTGCGTGGGTCACAGAGGCGCTGAGATGCCTGATCTTCTTGTACACTTTTACTAATCCTCTCTCATGGCCATATCTGTGAGGCCTTTTAACATTCCTCTCTCATGGCCATATCTGTGACGCCCTTTTACCAATCCTCAGTCATGGCCATAACTGTGACGCCCTTTTACTAATCCTCTCTCATGGCCATATCTGTGACGCCCTTTTACTAATCCTCACCCATGGCCTTAACTGTGACGCCCTTTTACTAATCCTCTCTCATGGCCATATCTGTGACGCCCTTTTACTAATCCACTCTCATGGCCATATATGTGTGTCCTTTTACTAATCCTTTCTCATGGCCATATCTGTGACGCCCATTAAACCATCTCAAGCCTGATCTTATCTCCCGTTGACTTAATCTTACACGTAGACGTAACCTGCTGTCGTCCAGCTGTGGCCCATTGACAGGACAAACAATCGTCCTTCGTTACGTCAATGGAGACGTGGGTGGTGAAAAATGGGGCCGGGGGAACTCATGTGGTTAAAATGGGGAAAGGGGGGGGGGCTAATCGATCAACTGCATGCAGTGAAAATAGAACAGCGTTGCCTAAATGATGATCCGCGGAGCAACGCTGGCCCCGCGAGCCTAACTTTGCCGGTCCGCGAGTCTTACTTTTCCGGTCCGCGAGTCTTACTTTTCTGGTCCACGAGTCTTATTTTGTCAGTCCGCGAGCCTCACTTTTCCAGTCAGTGTCGGTCCGCACAGAATCGGTCAAGAAACTGGGGGAAAGTTACATGCCAAATAGCGATTCAAAACAAATGTCCAAAATCGCGGTTGTCCTAATAATAAAAATACCACTTGTTGAGCGCATCGAGATGAGCCCTTGAAGCTGCAGCTATGGGATAGATTAAAGGTTTAAGAAATGTAAAACATGGCAATTAAAAGACTAACATGAAAGATGCTAAACTAATTTAATTAACATTTTTAATACAAATTGTGAACCACGTGAAGTCAAACGGTTTTTAATTGCATAAGGAGAATACAAAATTTATATATATATATATATATAAAAGAGAATAATAATTTGAAATACATTAATTTAAAAAAATACTTTAAAAAATATTGGTAAGGGCTTTTGGTAAATGTGGTTTGGATGGCTTACTTGGCAAATACCTTTGCCAGCTTTATTGAGTTCAACCTATCCATGCAAAGAAAGATGGCTTCGTGCTTCCAAATGGCTGAAAAGATCAATGGTCATAAAGGAAAGCTAGAGACATGGATGGATCTGAAATCCATCCAGACATGGATTTCAGATCCATCCATCCATTGCACCAAAGGGTGATATACATGTCACTTTGAAAAATATATGGTTTAATCCAGAAAGTAAGGAGGGATTGAAAATAGTTTTCAATAGCATCTTCTTTTGTATTCATTTCAAAGCAGAAAATAATGAACTGGCTAAAATTCCCTTGAAAGTTATATTTCATTTTCCTTCAACTTAACTGGCTTTTCGTCCATGAGCATTGGTAAGACCATGGACAGAAACATAATGGATAGTTGTGCTCCTTTGCGTGTAGCACTGTATACTCTCGATCCACTATTTGATTTGATTGTCAATAAAAAGCATGCCCATATTTCTCATTAAATAGTCATTGAAAGCCAACATTTTTTTTTTGTATTCCTAATTCAAGTTAAAGCTTAAGTTTAAAATATGTCCAAAAACTGCTATCGAAGCTATATTTATTTTTTTTAAATCAACCTTAAAAAAAAATATTTTTAAAAAGATTAGAGGCTAGCATTAAATGACATATAAGTTAATCAACTCCTATCGCATTGGCTGATAATGGATTAGAACTTTTCCAGGGCATATTGAAGGTCAAATAAAAAGAACAATTATTTAAATATCTGGCATCGGTCCATGGTGTAGTGGGAAATATTCCCACCGGTCCCCCGAAGTCACGGGAAACTTGCCCACCGGTCCCTGGTCTAATGGGAAATCTTCCCACCGGTCCGCCAAACGTAAAAGTTTGGGGAACTCTAAGCTAGAAGACATTCTTGTCATGGAGAAATTGAACACCTTGAAGTGGAGAGTAAGAATAGTAGTGATATAATTTACTCTATTTTCTGAAAAATTAAATATGATCTAAAGTCCATCAATTCAAATACCGATCAATATCTACCAGCAGAACCAAAGCACGCCAGCGGTGACTGCACCATGGTCGACACTTCACAGAGGGGCAGATGAGTCGCTACCCAGGGGGTCGGGGGGGG